GTCAGCTTTCTCATATTGAGAGCTCGGTTTCCCATTCGGGCGGCCCATCCCCGCCCCCCCAACCCACAGTCTGCCATCGATGCTCTAACTGACATCTGCTTCGTTTTCCTCCTTCAGAATGGCCGCAGTTACATTAAACAGACGCCGACTTGCTTGGAGTACAAATATGGTTTAGGGAAAAAAACAGCTTTCAGATGAACCAATCGAAACCAAATCGTTTGACATGTTGGTTGTAAGAGCCTTCCTTTGCTTATACAGAGATTGGGTTTTCTTAGAGACGTTCCTGCAGCGGGTGCGAGCATCACGTGTTAACAACTGTGAAAATAAAATATTAAATGGACGGAACCACAAGCTTGCTTGTACATGTGTCATACGTTTGTTTGGGAATTTAAACATATATATGACAAACACGTACAGAAAATGGATGGATAAAGTGTTCTATAATTGAATGAAAATGAAATACTAATATATAAAAACTGACGAAAAACAGGCCTAATTCTATTATCTCCAGATTTGCGCTGCGTTACAGATCTCTTCATAACAAAACATGTTTAACCTCTTACGGTTAGGTAGTTGAAACTATTCTAAGAAGCATAAATTAACATAAAAGTGCAGTTAATATAAGCAAGAATTAACGTTGGCAACAAAATCTGATCGGTATAGGATTATGAAAACAAAGGACGGTCTCCCAGCCAAATTCATTACAGGCGTGTGGTAACCGGACACCGTTAAGCGGTAATCTCCGGTTTGTTTGTTTAATACAGTTTAAATGATTCGGATACAATAGGAACTGCTGCCTGCCGCCTTCCGTGCGTGTGGGATCCTACAGCGCAGAGCGAAGCAGCGGCTGTGTAGTGTTATCTGGCTCGATTATTCGCATGCTGAAAGGTCAACATGCACCCCGAGCTGCGGAAAGTAGTGAATGCCAGACGGTAGTGATGCAATGCAGGTGTTTTACGTGGGAGATGCCCGGGGTTGGGGGTATACCTTAAGGTCCGATTGCACGTTTCTTTTGGGTGCGTATGTTCCGACCCTCCCACCCTTTATTTCCCAGGGAGGACGGAGTTTTGCCTCCCCACCCCAAGATCCAAATGCCTAGTTCTTCAATCCTGTATCTTCCCAGAAAGGACCAAAACTGAATAATAGCTGGTTCCGTCATCTACACGTTTTTTCCACACCGCTACCTGTTGGGTTTAATCTTGATTACTGGAGCATCTGGGATATTCCAGAGTTGTCCTTATGCAAGACAAAGTATATAGACCTATATAATATGTAATAAAGCCTATGTCATTCCTTTGATTTTCCACTTTTTTTAAATACGTAACGAGTCTTACACGTTTTATATAGGTACTCTTCGTCCATTCTCCACGTGCTTATGTAGTACGGGGTCGCGGTGGACCTATTCCAGAGAGCACAGGGGACAGGAAAGGGGACAGCAGTCCAATTTTTACAGGAAACGCCCCGAGGATATGCCAGCTTCATTTATTAGTTAATACACCCGCAACAGGAAATCTCACAAGATGAAGATAAATTCATTTGCATATTATAGTAATCAGGCACATATCGAAGGCAGTGTTTAGTTTTATTTATGCGAGTAAATTTTATTCTATTTATGGCTTCCGAAACAACGTAATGTATAGCCGTTGAGTGTATTCGTTGTGATATAGGCCTAATATAGCCCTATAGTCAGATTTCATACAGTTAAGTATAGGTGTGTTATAAAGAAAAAAAACCCTCCTATCTATCAATCCATTCATCCATCCACCTTTCAACTTACAATGGACGGAGCCACGGGGCCTCATTCGTGGTCACGGAAAATGATAAATATTGGATATTAGGTTAAATTATTTAACAAATGATCTGGGTAGTTTTTTGTATTCCCATTGATTCTCATTTCTTACCATTGAGAAAAACTTTATTCTAAGTCTACATATGAGAGTATCATGGAGTGATCGCTACGGGACAAGAAAAAACATGCATCGTGAGTCTGATATTATCCGGCAAACCTTATCAGTCCTCATGCGCAAAGGTCGGAGCGGCGCAGCCTCGGCTCCAGCCTCCGCCGGGACATGGTGACGCAGAGCATCCCCGCCCCCGGTGCCTTTCCTCCACCACTCCCGGTGGACAGGTAGCGCTAGGCTCCTACACCTGGTCCGACACACCTGGAGCGACAGGCAGCTTTTCTAGGGAGTTCGGCCAGAAAAACATCAGTCTGAGCATGCATTGCGAATGAGCGCCGTCATTAACGCTACCTGGGGGACAAAGAGGACCATATTTTATCCGTCGCACCTGTCCCCGACATGGAGACTGCAATTCGGGGACTCGGGCGCTGCTCCTGCGCCTTTTGGCTTGCGGTGGTCTTTGATGTGTTTGGGCTCATCGTCCTTCTGGTGGGAGTTTTCGCCGACTTGTTTTTCTACGATTTCCTCATTTACGCTGGCGCTATCATCATCTTCCTGAGCCTCGTCTGGTGGGTTTTCTGGTACACGGGCAACATCGAAGTCCCGCCGGAGGATCTGGAGGACGACGTGGGCTTGCTGAAAAAGGACAGGGGCATCGACGCCTTGGTGCGCAGACTGTCGAGTCGCCTGTCCAACGGGATCAGGAGTTCCTTCCGAGGGAACAGGAGGGGCGACCAGCCTGTAACAGTGCCCACACGGGGTGGGGGTAGCAGGGGGCAAATACCAGTGACTCTCCCTATGGCTCCGCAGGAAGGTCTACACACCGTGTCTGCAGGCGTACGGAACCAAGCAGCATCTCCGTCGCACAGGACTACAGAAACTTCGGCCATCTGATCATTTAAAAAAGTTTTTAACGGTCGTTTTTATCACCTTGAGTAAGTATTATTATTATTATTGTTGTTGTTGTCATTATTATTATTATTATTATTATTATTATTATTATTATGCACAAAATTCTTTAATTTGTTTTAAATAGTTTTTTGATGTTGTGTTGTTTCCTGGAAAAACGACTGTAATTGTCGTAAAATGGGAACAAGGATATTTGTTTTTCTTGTTAATAATTAACCCAGTTCTATGGGTGTACCTCAGACCAACACCATCAAATGTCCTAGGACTGCTGTGAATGTGATTGATAATCTCTCAGAAGGGCAACCTTTGGAGTTTGCTAAGGACTAAGAACGCTATTCACATTATGTGACTATAGCACTTAACTTGATAAATACCGAACAGCAACAACTCTTATTTACAACAGGAATTAACAGTAATTGTTCATTTTGTATTCACTTGCTGTTATTTTAAATATTGTATTATTTTTCTTTGTTTGGAAAATTGTTTTCAAATAATAGTGAATTAAAAGAAAAAGGTGATATTTCTCGTATTTCATTACTCTACAGTAAAAGGAAGAAGAAGTCATTTGGATCCCGCATTGCAACCTACGCACGCCACGTGCCAGTAAACGAGTCTGATAACCCCGCACCTGGCCTCTCTTCCTCAGTAATCCTCTTAACCTGTTTACAAGTACTTTAAATTTATGTGAAATACCAGTGAATTTTCTATAATTTGTCTGCAAACAGATCCCGTTTTTTT